AGTACTATCTACAATAATCTGTGAACTAGTTGAGTCTAAACCTAATGAAGTATCTTTATTTTTATTAACTTTACAACTATCACTATATGTTACATTTTTATTTACAAATTGGTTCTCCATGAACGTCACATGCCTTGCTTTAATGCACTTCTTTGGACAAAAAGGATCTATGAGCCTATAGCCTTTGCTATCATCACAATATCCTACAAAAATATATCTTTTGCTTCTAGGGTCCAATTTTCTAGCATTCTCAACGATGGCATATGCTACACAACCAAAAACTCGTAAATGTTCAATGTTCACCTTTTTATTCGTCCATTTTTCTTCCGGTGTTACTCCCTTTATTGCCTTAGTAGGGGAACGGTTCTTCAAGTATACAGCCGTGTTAGCAGCTTCAGCCCAGTACCGTTTCTCTAAACCAGCGTCCTGGAGCATGCAGCGGGTCTTATCCATTATCGTCCTATTTGCCCTCTCTGCAACACCATTTTGTTGACTACAGTGTGGAATTGTAGTTTGATGCTTAATTCCATTTTCTTTTAAATAGGCCTGAAAATTTACAGAATTAAATTCTCCGCCATTGTCACTTCTAAAAACCTTTATTTTCCTACTTACTTCATTCTCTACCATAGTTTTAAATAATTTAAATTTTTCAAATACTTGACTTTTTCTTTGAAGAAAGTAAATAAATGTTTTTCTTGTGAAGTCATCGATAAATGTTACAAAGTAACGTGCTCCACTCCAAGAAGGTGACTGCATAGGACCACACACATCTGCGTGTACCAGTCCTAGAATTTCGGAAGCCCTACTTTTACTTTTCTTTGGAAAAGGTAGCATTGTCTGTTTACCTTCGAGACAAGCAGTACAAGGAATGAAAGTAGTATTTTTATAATTCATACCTGATACAATACCATTTTTCATTAAATTCATGCTCCGTGCATTCAGATGTCCGAGCCGCTTATGCCACAGTTCCTGTGATGCTGAATTCTGCACAATCGCCAGTGTAGAATCCTTGCTCTCATCTGAAAACACCGTACGCTCGCTCCCCTCACGGACTGAGTTCATAGCAATCCCTGATTCTTGTTTTCTACTGTATTTCCTACTGTATTTCCTATTATACATATTTACAGTTTTAATAATGTCGAGTTCATAGACACCATTTCTACAAGTACCAGTAGCTATAACCTCCTTATCGTGCATAATTTTACAACCTAAATGACTAAAAATAACATAATAACCTTTCCTACCTAACTCACTTACTGATAATAAATTTACACTAAGTTCAGGTATAAAATATACATTATTTATAGTTTTAGTACCATTTACTAATTGTACCTTTACTCTACCCCGACCTTCTGTTGTTAATTTGTCCCCATTAGCTACATTTACCTCAAGTGACTTTACATCCTGATAATCATACATTAGATCTTTATTATTACACATATGATGAGTAGCCCCAGAGTCGATACACCATATATCACTGTGAAGATTCACACGTAATGCAGACAGTAACGACGCCTCAGGATTCTGCTTCCCAGTAGATTCTTGTACAGAATTATTTTTGTACACTTTCCTTTTACTGGTACAGTCCTTCTTCATATGTCCAGGTTTTTTACACTTGAAGCACACGACCTTTGAGCTCTTTTCTTTTCTAGTAGCTAATGCGTTGACCCCATCTTGACTCTTGTCATCTCGCCTCTGTTGCTCCTGCAGTAACTTTGACTTGACCACCTCACTTGTGAGTTTCATATTAGAATTTTCTAAAGCCATTATCATGGGGTCAAAGTCCTCCGTCAAACCACTGAGCATAATTACAGCTAGAAATTCATCGTCAAGTGCGGATCCAATATCTGATAGTTGTTGCCCAAGCTCCGTAATTTTTAATAAGTAGCTTTGCATACCTTCCGTCTCGCACAGTTTCGTACCAAATAGCGACCTCAGTAATCCCAGTCGTCTGCATAGTCCCTTATCCTCGTAAGCACGCTCGAGATTATGCCAGGCTTCATAAGGACTCTTCGCATTGCGTACATGACCCAACGCTGATGGACCGACGGACAAACAAATTTTTGCTAACGCCTTTTGTTTTTTCTTCTCGTCTTTTTCATCTTCGTTCATTACGCAATCGAAAAGATCTTCATGCATTAAAATCATTTTCAGCGTAAACTTCCAATGATTATAATCTTCTAAGCCCTTTAGTTTTTCGACGGGAATATTATATGACAATGCCGACGCCATGTTTTATATTTTTGCAGATACTTTATTATATATTAATTATTTTATATATAAAATTTAAATGCAAATACTATAAATATACTGAAAATATGCGAATATACGAAATTATTTTAACTTTAATCAACGGTCTGGGCCCATAACCTGATGGATCGGTACAATAGTATACAACAGAATGGTTAAGAGGAAGGGTTGTCACGGTTGACGTTCAATATTCAAAATATATATTTTTCTATTCATTTATATCATGTGCCAACACTATGAACGTAGCAATCTTGCAATTGGATCTTAGTCCATAATTGTTTCCAAAATACTTTATTGATAACACTAAAGCTCGTCAATCTCTACTAAACAAAAAAAAACGCTTGACGTGGAGCTTTCATAACTCTTTCAGAATTGACAAGTAAAGGAACTAATAACATTTATATAATCTGTAACTGTACTAAAAATCCACCCTGGGTTTTGGTTGGTATTGATCGATTTAGTTATCGACAACAAAACAAAAAGAATACAGAATTGCAATTTTTACTCAATATAGTATCGTAAAAGTTTTATTACTTCGTAAATATATTTTGCTTAGACATAAGGACATAATGAGGGCAAAGCCATGACCAATCATTAGTTTTACAAATTTGCGATCGCACCGACCTCGCATACCATCGTAAAATGTATACAACAAAATTATTTTTACGATGTCACAAAGGAAGCATTAAACTTATAAGTAAATCATAAATGAACCGCTTTCCGGCGCATTTCAAATATTGAACCTATTTTATTTACTAGATTTTGCTATTACTACTGTTTTACATTCCTTGCAAGTTCAAAGAGACTCAACATCACTCAGTTCTAAATATTCGGCAGAATTAAAAAAATCACAATAAACGGTTCTTAAAGTTTTGCTTTTATGCCTTTTTCATATATCGATGTTACCGAATCGATTCGAACCGATCTTTCATAATCCTTATACCTCTTGTTTGACTTAAAAATAGGAGGATATGTTTTTACTTTTTATGCCCCTGAATACAGGTATAAAAAACTATATTTAACTATATTATTTTATATACCGCGTAATAATGCATTTTCATCAATTGTAGGCCGATTTTAATGAGTTTTTAATGAAAACGTAGACTACTTTAAAAAAAATATATATTTTTAGATATTTTTAAGACGGTATTATACACTTTTAGTAAAAAATGTAAGCCTTCCTAACAAAACTATCATAATAAATCGTGAATAAAAAAATTTAGGCAGCATGTTTATATATAATTGTAAGATTACCTAATACGTGTACGGCAAATATTTATTTCACATCTCCGAAATGTATAATGACCTACATCAAAGCTCATGTTACTATAGCTACGCGTACACGTGTCTCACGAAAGATAACAAACTGTAATTAAATATTTTAAGATAACAACAGATAACAGCAGTGTTATGATTTCAGGTCATTATCCCACGGGCTTATAAAAATGAATAAATATATTTTTTTTCATAATGTACCAATGCAATATGAACAGGAACGAAAAAGACTAGCGACTCACCCTCGTTCCGCTCGAGTTCGACCGTTACGTTTTAACGTTTAGTATAGATTTCTTAGAGATGATGATATTTCCCCGCAGTAAAAAGTATCCTACTTATATGTTGAGCTGGATAGCTATCATCATATCAAATTTGATCAAAATCTGTCCAGTGGTTTTCTCGTGATCCGTTCCCAAACAGACAAACAAAAATTCTAAAACTATAGATTCGGTCTCTCTTATTAATAATGAGTGATATTTCAATAAGATTTTCCAAAAAATATTTAATGTACAGATTCGTTTCAGAGGCAAAATCCGAAAACATATTTTTATTTTACTTTATTTTAAGCTTCGTAAAGCAAAAATTCGAATACTAGACACTTGTAACTCCTAAACTTTATTATTAGTTTCTGTTTTTACTTGTTTTATCTCATCTCGGATTCATACTGTTTATTACAAACAAAGAAGCGGCTGAACTCGTAATTACAATATGTAAAAAAATTGCAAATGTTAAAAACTTTAAACTAACGGCCTCGTAAAGTTTTTATTACGTTTTCAATGTCATATCTTGCGCCATAGTTCAAGTTCAAAAATAAAGTTGTATATAATTAAACAGCTTATATAAAGGATATCCTACAAAGTTTTAAATTTGATTGATATTTTAAATAAAATTATCTCTTCGGATTTTTTCGCGGATTTATTTAGATTTAGTTTCCATTTTTTGATTCCCAAAAATCTGAATAGATAGTTTTATTTAAAATGTCAAATATTCGCGTAAATCTTCGATCAACAAACAGTAGTACTGTTGATCGAAGGCGTAAATCTAAGATAGTTATGATTGATATTATATGTATTTTCATATATATCATATATTTTCGGGTGTTTCATACCCAAAAAGGGGCCTTTCCTTAAAAATCAACTTAGGTACGTGCATCTTGTACTAGGGTATTACCCCGATTTTATCTGGTTTTAAATGCTATACAAACTTTATAACCCCAATTATTGTACTTCAGGGTTATATTTAAAAAAATCATATTTAATTATTGATATATTTATTTCCATTAACAATTGTAGACGGGCAGATAGTAGGTACTCTTGCAATAACTCTACTCAGCTTTGACTTTTACAGTAATAATTAAAATGTATATTTATTTTGCATATATAATTAAGCATATTTTTAATTTATTAGATTTTCCTTTTCTTGTAATAAAGACATAATATATATAAAATTACTTATATATATATAAAATGTTTCAGCCAGCGGCGCGCATATACATTGAATCACCACAGAGAACTATCTATAGACAAAACACAGGTTTGAGTACCTATATGTATAATGTAGATATAGAAAAGAGACATACTACAGAGGTTATAGAAGATTTCAAGAAAACCAAAACTGATACATTTTTGCTGTACACGGACTATACAACCAGAGTGTCAGATGACTTGAAAGCTTTCCAGATCAACATATCGTCGTTAACCCAAGACACTATTGCTTCTATGCAAACGAGAATTCTAGATAGAGCTGTAAGTATACTTAGTATTTTAGACTAGTGCTTGCATGTATGTATGTAGTTTTGCTTAGCTTTTTCCTAGGATACTAAACTCAAAATTATCTAGAACTAACGTGATTTCGAAATTATAAAATCTCAGACTAAGGAGTAATAGGAATAATAGACAGAGTGTCATAGAACTAAACATGAATAATGTTTGTAAATATACTGTACCTAGACAAATGACAATTTTTATACCTACTGAGTAATCTATACTAATATTATAAATGTGAAAGTTTGTGAGTATGGATGTTTGTTACTCTTTCACGCCAGAACGGCAGAACGGATCTGAATGAAATTTGGCGCAGAGATAGATTATAGTCTGTAATAACACACTTTTATCCCCGAAAAATATACGGTTTCCGAGGGATAGATTTGTTTTTGGTTTTCGTTTTTCGTTAGTAAATAAATGTTAATGAATAAAAGTAGCTAACGTATTTTATTATAATAATAAATAAAAAATAAATAAATAAGCTAATGCTTAAGAAACATAAAAGAATATAATATTATTGTTTTTATTATTCATACTAGCGAGTAGCGACTCAGACTCGCTTCGATGGGCTCGTTCCTAAGAGATTCTTTAAATTAACATAACTTTTTATTTATTTATCAATTGAAACAAAACAAATACTAAATGTTAAGTGAGGCTTACCACAATACATTAGTGCAAACCGCACCCAAATCGGTTAAGCCGTTTCGGAGATTAGCGCGCACAAACGCACACAAAAACAGACAAACATTCTAAAAATCATTGTTTGGGTTCAATTGCGTTAATAAAGATCCCCAATAATATATTTCCTCAAATATCTTCCAGATACACTAAGCAATCAGTTACAATTTTATTATATGTATAGATTGTATCTCAAAAATTGTATTAATTTAACTGATATCTGTATAAATTTTTCCTTATTCTTGAAAGAAAGTCTGTATGGCAAATTTGAGAATAATAGAATAACAGCAAAGCACGCTACTATTTTTGACTTTGACATTTATTTCGGCGGACTCGGTTTGTATCATTTTAGTAGTTTCTAAAATCACTAAAATAAAAAACAAGAACCCAGCACCAATAACTTTTAGCAAGTGTCTAGTTTTCTAAGAGGTGTGAGGTTTCCAGCAACAACTTATGTAGCAGCTATTAAAGAATATGAATATTTCAATAAGATTTTCCAAAAAATATTTAATGTACAGATTCGACTTAGTTAGAATTTTATTATATTATTTTACATGCTCTTTGGAAAATCGCTCGAAATGTTTGATGTAAATACCTAATAAGATAAGCCTGTTAGATACAAGCCATACCGCACTACCAAAATCCCCAATTGTTGATTAAACCTAAAATTACCATTCAATATTAAACATAAATATCAAATACTACATTATATATATACATATAATAAAATTCTAACTGAGTTGAATTTGTACATTAAATATTTTTTTGGAAAATCTTATTGAAATAGTCATTACTATCGAATTACAGAAGCCGAACTTATAGTTTTAGAATTTTTGTCTGTCTTTCTGTCTGTCGGTCTGTTTGGGAACGCATCACAAAAAAACCACTGAACATATTTTGATGAAATTTGGTATGATGTAGTTGGTTATCTAGGTCAACATATAGGATACTTTTTACTACGGGAAAATATCTCATCTCTGAGAAATCTATATTAAACGGTAAAGGGGGTAAGTCGCTAGTAATACTATACCTATAAACAAAGTAGTCGTAATATACATTTGTTTATATTAAATCACGATAACGTCAGACGTCTATGTCAGGCTCAGCTGAGATCCATTGAGAATTTAATTCTATAAATAAAATATATATCTTAACGTTCTATCTCTGAAACGTGTAGATAAACTGTTTATTCATTCACTACATTAATCTTCGCGTTTTAGGATAAATTTCTTGAAGTGGAAAAGAAAAACTTGAGAAAAGAGAATGACTGAATGAACTGATCGATATTTATTTATTTATAAGGACATGAGTTCATAAAAATTAAACCCGTTTTAGTGAAGTTTTAGTTGATTTGGAAATAAGTTGTTTATAAAAAAAATGTCGAACTCTAGCTTTATAAAGAGAATAGTAATTTAGTTTGCAACAATGACCACTTTTATAATAAATTTCCAATTTCCCTTCTTAACCCTAAAAGATATTAGCAACCTGAAGAATATTTCTTAGAATTTTCTAGCTATTTAATTCATTTTACCAAAAATTATAAAATACCTACGTACATATTAATCGCTGATGCATTCGCGACCATGATTGCTGTAAAGCATTCGAAACGTCTGTAACCAAGAATCAAAATTAAGACGCAAAAAATCCGAAACGGTAGTCGTATCAAATATTAACATTAATAATTTTTAATAATATCAATAACCAAGAAAGTAATTTTTCAAGACATAAACTTTCATGATCAATTAAGATGCAGCATCCACTGTTATCTCATTTCTATAATGTAACATCTATCGTTTCAGCAAACCTTGACTCAGTTGGACTGCTCTCGGTATTTTGCAAATGCAGACTAAATTTTGGCACTAAGTATTTGACGTTCAATTCTAGATAAAAAGCGTATCAATAACATTAGTAGCATAACTCGTTTGCTCACTATTACAAGGTTCTATGTTACAATTTTAGTACTTATTTAGTTATTAATGCTACAAGGTTCTATGTGTCATTAGCTACAGTTTTGCAAAAACAAACCACCAGGTAGCGGCACTTTAACTACAAAATATTCAATTTTACATAGTTCTATGTTGTTTTTTTTTACGATATAACGAACATACAAACATACAAAATAACGAAGTTCTATGTAAAATGACTAAACTTCATTAAAATTAACATAGAACCTTGTAATAGTGAGCCAACGATTATGTTAGGACAACGTTCAACTATTTTGCGGTGTCTATTAGGTATAGTACGTACATAATACGTGTAACGTATTAGTTAAATCTTGTAATGTTTAAGTTAATTTTATCTATTATAAATATTTGTTAGAACTCGTATTTAACATTTCATATACTATTGTTTTAAAACCGGAAATGTAATCAATGTTGTGTATACCTATAATTAATGCTTGTACTAGTATAAGTAATCTTATAATATAATAATTTAGAATGTAGGTACAATGTATTGTTGGTATGTCTTGCAAATAAATAAATAATAAATAGTTATGTACATAAAATCTCACTATATCCGAATTGTGGTGGTCAATTATTAAATTCTATACAATAAAATTCAACTTTAATAAAGCAAAACTAGCCACTAACCCTCGCTACGCTCGGGTTCGTTCTTCTACGTTTTGATGGTTAGTATCGTTTTCTCAAAGATGAGATATTTTCCCGTAGCATAAAGTATCCTATTTTTTTACCCGGATACCCAGCTATCATCATACCAAATTTCATCAAAATCTGTCCAGTGGTTTCTTGTGATGCGTTCCCAAATTGACAGACAGACAGACAAAAAGTCTAAAAACTATAGATTCAACTTCTGTATTGATAATAACGACTATTTTAATAAATTTTACCAAAAAATATTTAATGTGCATATTGGACCAGTTAGAATTTTATTATGCATAGATAATATTAGATTCTAACCTATTTTGGTCAAAGCTACTTTAGACCAGAGCTTAATATAAAAAATATAAAAAATAGCTTTCCCAAAATGTTCTAATGTAAAGTGTGCCAGTATTTCACCGAACAGTTATTTTAAAAAGGTATACCTAACGTTAAATGGGATGAAATGTAAATTGGCCGCCACTCTTTCATAAGAGATAATTAAGAAAAACTGTCACGTTTGTTTCACCGAATGCCTTTCTATGCATACAAGATTACTTCTCGGTTTTGTTGCAAAGGTCATCTCTTGACATAGAATAACTAATTTCTATTATTATTCTCTAATTTTGATACAGACATTTCATTACCTACTCATTTTCAGTTAATCGTAGGATGGTCTTTTGTGGATTAATCCATCAGTCTGGAAATCAGGTTTAAAAGCTTCTAAATTAAAAAAAAAATGTTACTTATAGAAATAAATATATAGTGACAGTTTATTTCCAAGGAACTAACGTAGTAAAATATTTAAGCTTATGGCGCACCCTACTGTTAGAGTCTTGGACCTAGGTCGAGGCTTCACTCATTATATGTATAAGGTTAAACAAAAAAAAAACATAACGCGTGAACGTTATGTTATAGTTACGCCATAATTTACTAAGCACAATTAGATATTAATATTCTTGTTGCACGTATGTATGTATGTATGTACATTACAATAATATTTAGCATTGAATATCAATTAGTATTTATAAAATCCTAATGAGTATCGCAGATGCATCAAGATTAGTGCAATAAAATTATCAATTATATTATTTGTATATTCCTTTATATGTGGGAACGGGAATAATAGTGAGTAGCACTGAGTAATGTCAACATGAGTGATCATTGATCGATGATCCCTAATTAGGGTCATCCAAATTCTTTATAGTATAGGAAAATAATTCAAAATATCTTTCGTTGTATTTACATAGTAATTTGTGATCAACGCTACTAGTGATATTCATTAGCATTTTCATGTTAATTCATAATTGTATATATGAAGTTCTAAGTACATAATGACACAATATAAATAGGTCTATGTTACAAACAAAAACAGAGATAACAAAGGCATGGACTGTATCAATAAAGAATAAGGATAGTGTTCAAGGAAACGAATATTATACATAATAGGTATACCAAAGATGACATAATTCTATATTAGTACGTATACTCAATTGTGGAAAAGTATGAGTCATACAAAAGTAGTACCTATTTTTTAGTTATGATGTTCTTTTAAATTTAACTATTCAGCAATTTTTTGGTGCAAATTAAACACAATTAATATTACAAGTAAAACGTGAGCTTCCTTCCTAAAAAAATATTTGTATGTATCATCGTATTAAGATCTTTTTATCATCCCACTACTGGGTAAAGGATCTTCTTAATAAG